CACTGAATTTATGTTCTCTGAATTAAATTATTATTTTTTATAGGACTTTGAAATTACAAAAAAAATGGTTCCCTGTAATTTTTATGCCAAGTATGCAGAACTTTCAATTAGGGATGTGCCGGGTATACGGTAGATATCCGAAATCCGGCGGAATTTCCAGATTTCGATTATAGAAGATTGGGGATAAAATTTTAAAATAATATTTTCAGTAATCATTCATCTTTTGCCCAAAAAATTTAATTTGTTTTTTATTCTACATAATTTTCTCCTTTATTTGATATCCATATTGTTAATAATATAATATTTTACATTGCACTAAATTTTTTCACAATTTTTTGAATTCATTATGGCTTTGAAATTTCAAAGTGCTTTAAAAAATCCTGGCGCCAGAAAGAAAAACAAAAACGCAGTTTTACTATTGGCCCCTAGTTTCGGGAATATATAGATTTTTTTCTATGTAAAATTGATTGTCTCACGGTGTTATCAGATATTAACGAAATTGTACAGCTTACCTACACCGCCAAAATTATATGAAGCGCAAATACTCAGTCAACTACAAATTTTTCGAAAAGCAATGGCGAAACCTATGCGTACCTGAGGCTGGTTATGGAAACAATCTGGAAACAAAACATAATTACCATCAAAAACCTGCCAGCAATTTTAAATTCTGCGAATACGCTCTGTAACATATTTAATGCATTCAAATTATTACTTTTTTGCTGGCTATAAATCATTGATTGGCAAAAGTCAATATTAGGCTAACAAACCGCTTACAAAACCAAAGTACAGCTTAAACAACATCAACAATAACAACAACTGCATTTAAAACATTTCCCCTTTTATTCGCTTACTAATTAATCATTTCCGCACTCAAATTTTCATTGCGAATTAAAATCGCCTGCCACTAAAGGATTCTGCATCGGCGCATACTCAAAGGATATTCAAACACAATGCGCAAATCACACAAAATACACAAAAAATATACTCCTCTGCGTTGGTTTTACATTTGTAAGGGAGACAGACAATTGTTAACAATTTGCAGAGACTAACAAAGCAGCATTAACGCATTACGCGCTGCTCTAATATGGCGCAAAGTCGAAAGGATAACTAATCAAAATCACATTACTCATTGTTCGACATTTTTGTTGCACTACTTTTGGCAAAAAGTAATCCTTTTTTTTTTTGCACGCCATAGCTGGGCTGCGGTGTGGTGTTGATGTAAAGGGTGAAAAAGTGAAAGGATTTGCGAAATCGGCGGCTCTTGTTGGCACTTTTTGTATCCTTTCACCACAATTCGCAACACCTTTTAACAGCTTGTACAGCGAAATAAATGATTTTATTGAAAATCGTGTGAATTTCGTGGGATTCCTCAACGCCGAAATGCAATTAAAAACTATAAATATGAAAAAAAATAAATAAAAAGTTATTTTAGAAAAATTTTAGGAAAAGGAAAAGTTTCATAAGGTATGACTGAGTGCTTGTAGGATGAATTTCGCAGGCGAACTAGTTTGATATTTCCGTTTTTTTTTTTTTTTTTTTTTTGGAAAGAACGCATTAATTTGTAAACAATATTGTTAGAAAAATCATCGTTGAGGGTTTTCAAATAATATGTTTAGAATACGTGAAAATTTCATAAAAGTATACTTGTGAAGAATAAAGTAAAAAAATCGAAAAGTGAAAGTAGTTTGCTTCATGAAAACATTTTATTCGAAACCGAAGACTATTATTTAGTGAAGCACATTAACATTAAAATTAACGAAATCTTTAAGAGTATCGGAAATTTTTGTACGATTTCGTAAAGACAATTCAAAAAAGAAAAAATCTGAAAAGAAATATAAATATAAAAAGAATATAAATTTCGACAGCAAATTCGACAAAAAGTCCGAAAGGGGAAAAATTATTGCATTAAGAATTATTTAAGATTTCTGTTCTCTTCAAGATACTCTGAAGGCAGCGTTTGCAGGGTCTGTACTAGAGATGGGCAAAACACGTGATTTTCTACGTGACACGCGTGAGCGGGAGTGGTTTTGAGAGAAAAATCACGTAACTTCCGTGGTTGTGCGTGACTGAAACTTTGGCTGGCGTGAGCGTGCGTGCGTTAGATTTTCCGTCAACCACGTAATTTTCACATATCGAGCCCTAATCGCCAAAAAAATTTAAGCGAATTTTTTTTCAAAATTTTCTTTTTGACGCAGAAAAGATCCTAGAGCATCTAGATGCATTTCTGCATTAAAATTACAAATTTGAAAAAAAAATGTCGCTTACATCTTTTTGTTGTTTAGGGCTCGTATTATGTTTGTATACATATACATATGTATATGTACATATTTTCAGCCAAAATAAAATCGTAAACTACTACTGTTTAACTTATTTGCTGTATACACTTCTGACGAATTCAAAGGTACAAACGATGAATCTGAAGAAACAGTCTTTGAAGACATTAATGCGGAAATACAGATTTATTTGAAAAAAATCAGAAAATAAAAGTTGTGACGATGTTTTAAAATTTTGGGAGAAAGCTAAAGATTTTCCACTTCTTAGCAGCTTTTAAAAGCAAATTTTACACATAGCACACTCTAAAAAATCTGATTAAAAATGCGACTATAATTCGAGTATATTTTTGTTTATTTTTTTGGTAAATTTACACGATGAATATGTATTTTTCTCGTTTACACATTTTCGTGTGTAAAAATCCTTTTTGTTAGCGGCTTTACACAATTCTACGGGTGAAATCAAACAGCAGATGTGTATTTTGTAGCTTGTACACACTTTCATAGTAAATTTACGCACACCACAGCAGCTATATGACACTCTAAAAAGTCCGAAATTTAAACAAACTTTTCGTTGAATAATCGAGCATGTAATTTCGCGAATAATAAGGCAGGAAATCAGTTACCTGCCTTTTAGCTAGGAAATCTACACAATTTTTTTTAGAGTGCAGCTAGCTCAGCAACTATTGAAAGAGTTTTTCTGTATCAGGCAGAATTCTAGAAGAAAAACGTACACGACTGCTTGGTGATAACCTCGACAAAATATTATTTTTAAACAAAAATATGAGCTAGTCGTTTTAAAATGACTTTGAATGAATATTGATGCGTTTGGCCAAGCTTTTGTAAGAATATTTATATGAAATTCTATTTATATACATAAATAAAGTTTCAATTTGAAAAAAAAAAAAAAATCGTGAAAAATCGCGCGTGAGCATGCGTGATTGAAAAACTAGGCGTCGTGAGCGTGCGTGAAACCATCAACGTGAGCGTGCGTGAACGTGAGCCGAAATCACTCACGCGCTCATCTCTAGTTTGTACAATAATTATGACACTTCTGTCTGATTTTTCCAACAGCTTAACACTTTTCTCAACTCAACCCGCAATGCACTCCTTGGTTGAGTTGTTACATACACACATAATTATCCTTAAGAAAATTATATGCTCTACATTACTTACATAAGTAATTTTGGGCTCGGAAAATAGTAAAACTTATGCAAAGATTATTGAAATGCCGTTAAACGAGCAATAATGTTGCTAATTGACGGCCTTCGATGGTTTTGCGGTTGGGTCGGTCATTAAAAAAGGAAGAAAAAGGCCTGTCCTTAAAAAAAAACAAAAACCATAGCGAATGCGGTCGGTGAAGAAGGCCATTTCCTCAACTACATACTTAATGATGCGCAAAAGTGCAAAGGTAAGCAGATCTTCCACAGGCATGTGTATGTAAAACATAAGTGGTCGTACGTGTGTTTGAAGGACTCGTATGTAAATTTTGTCATTGTCATTTGTTTGGTTGAAACAAATCGAGGTACTTGACTTGTTGTAGTACTACATAAAAAGGAGAAACAAAAACCGGGTAAGGCTGTTCAAGAGGACGGGCAAATTAGTTGAGTAAATGAAGCGGAAAGAAAGGTTTTTATGCAACTGAAAAATATTCTACAAAGTGTTGGCAAAACTAGCAGTATGCTCGACTAAGCGAAGAAAAACCCACGATGGCTAAACTAGCAAGCAGAGGCTCATTAATGGCAATTTATGCGGACAAGCTACGAAGTGATATGCACAACAACAAAACGAATTAAAATTTTAGAACAAAGTTTAAGTCTTGCTCTGCTAACTCTTGCTTATCTGTAACCAAAACCGTTAACTTCTATTTTTTCGCGTCCAAACACTTCCCGAGTAACCTGTCGCTCTTAAAACGCGACACTTTAGATCGAAATCAACGCAGGAAGCAAGTGTCATAGTCGGTTTTTAATTAGACAAAAGCAAGAGGTCATAAAAATTTAGTAAAAGTCTATACAAATTATTAACTGCATTTCAACACGCAAAAATCCTGTTGCTTTTGCTTCCGAGACGCCCTACTTATACTTATACTTCCTTGTACTCCTAATTTGAAAAAGCTGGCTCGCCTTAAAATCTTGACACCCCAGTAGTTAGTGTAGAAATTATAGTCTAGCTAAATTAAGGAAAACCACTTCCTTTGTCATCCTAATTTTTTACATTTACAACCCACGATACGATCTCGTTCTTATTCGCAGGACTTAAAATGCGCCGCTGCGGCACTGTTGGAATGTGTGAGAGTCTAAACGCGCAATCACAAAGATTTTATCGCAAGCAGACTGGCAGGAAGACCATAAGGAAACAAGAAAAAACTGTCACATAAAAGCACCCCATAGGAGCTAATGACGACAGGCAATGCAACGTCCTGCCGCACTCTCTTGGCGGAGAGTAAATAGTCTTTCGAAATTCCGTTGCCCGATTGATTGGTTGACTGCTTACTATTGCAAGAGAGTCAACTAGCAAAGCAAAGAGCACCACCATGATGCAATGAGTGCGCGAGTTTCATTCACGCAAGCAGGGTTGTTGCGCTAACGGTTCTCAGAAGTTACGCTACCACGAGCGCGAGTATAAAAGCAATTTTACCCGTCGCGTTTAGTCAGTTTGTCAGCAAATGTGAACGAGAGCACAGTTTTGCCTTGCGAACTGGGAGTCTGTAAATACATACGAAATAGCAAAATGTTAAAGTGGACGGCGTCAGCGCAGAAGCTGAATCAGCTCACGCCGAACATAAAGGCGGCTACGACGACATTACGTTCACCGCACCCGTTAACAGACGCGAAACGACGCCGCCGACGTGCCACAATCAGCAATAAGGAGAACATCGTACCATATACCTCAACTCCGATGGTGGCGCGAGAGCACAACAGCCCACTGGTGCTTTCGCCGTTAACGGATATTTTGAATGTCACACCGAAAACGCAGTCGCCGCTGACGCAGCGCACACCAGAGCGAATGCTGAACGCAAGTACGAGTACAACCAGCCGGGCACTACCCAATCGCCGCCACTCAACAGTGGGGTTCTTTCTGCACCCGGCGCCTAATTACGCTTCCACTCTGCCACGCTTCGAGGAAGAATACTCGCCAAGCACAGCGCTGCCTACTGGACAACAAGTAGCTTTAAGAGGACTACTGCCAGACCCTTTCCTCAGCAACTTGCGCTACTTTAACACACCCGAGTTGGAGAAGCGAAAGCAAAAGGAGGCGCAAGAAAAGCTGAAGGCCGCCAGAAAATCATTGCCACGAAAGCTAGAAGCAGATTTTGCTGAAATTGCGCGAGAATGTTGCGGCGGCCAGCAACCGAAGCGCAACTACAATGAGTCGCATTCAGCCGGTATGAGCGACCAAACCTTAGACAAACTCATTGACGCTATACTCGACTCAGCGCGCAAAGGCGAAAAGAAGAAGATGAGGCCGCGCAAGTCATTCAACTTACGTCGTCGCACGCTGCTGAAGAACCAGACCGAGCAAAAAGTCAGCGAATTAGTTTTGTCACCATCCTACGCGCCCGGCGACGATCCAGCGAGTGATCTCAGCTTCCTCTTAGCCGAACCGGTATCGAAAAGCATGATGAAGGTGCAGGGATCTACTAAGGCATCGCCACCCACACCAGCTCCAGCTACACCCTTGCCCGGCACGCCTATATCTGAGGAAGTATTGCAAAAAATGCCCACGCCCGCCACCTGCGCCTGTGCAGCACAGCTACATTTTCTGCGCTCGAGCACAAGCAAGGAGCGATTGGATACCACGTTCACGCTGGAGACGCCCGTGCGGTTGCCTATGCAGAGGAAGCGACAGCGGCGGAAAACATTGGCCGTATCGATCGGCGGCGGCACGAAGCGCTTCAAGGCCGATGGTAGCCAAAACTACTACGATGTTGGACTTGCGTTACCATCGATTTTTGTTTGAAGTTGCTGAGGATGGGAAATTGTCGTAAGAATTTATTACTCTTTAAGTTTATTGGTTTATTGAAACCATATTTGTTGATTTGTTGACAAACTGGGGGAAAATGCTCGCTTATTACGCTTTTAGTTTTTAAGTCTCTTATTTATTTTTACTTTTAACTAATTTAAGTAGGTAATTTATGCACTAAGTAGGTTTTAATATTAGGAAAATTATCATTTTATTACATACATACATACATACATCATCATCATTGGTCAGCGTCGTCGTCATCGCAGTTGTTAATGTATTTGTTCCTTTATTGGGTGTCTAATGCTTGAATCGATTTATATACATTTGTTCACCAAAAGTTGAAATAAATGCAAAAAATAACTTCTTTGAAGAAAAAATATTTATCTTCTTCCTTCATTTCTTTTAATTTCTTTTTGTCTTAGTGGGAGACGTGCTTCTGAATTCAAAGATGCTTTCTGTCATTTTTTATCAAGTAAGGAATAGTTTCAGCGCTGTTCAACAGCTGAAAGAAAACAATAAACTTGTCTGTACGAATACTTATTGAAAAAAATTCAATTTACGGTTTTCCGGTGGTAAACCCTTCCGCTCTACCGCCTTTCAACCGAAGCACAAATTGATAGTTTAGAATTTGGTGAAATTAATGAGGAGGAAAATTAAAATTTAAGACACAATTTTTTCAATGCCAGAACAGGTTGCCGAATGCGGAGCAAGTGCTTATCGAAGAAAACGCAAAGAAGACCAGCGTTAGCTAAGAAAGGGGTTGTTGATTCACTTTACATTTAGTGAAGTGGAGTTAGAACATTGAAAGCGTGCAGCTGTTGGCATTCTATAGGATATGGACTAGGGCTGGGAGTTCTATCCGGATTTTTTGAATAACCGGATAATTCGGATATTCGATTATCTGAATAAAAAAAATCGAATATCCGGACAACAAAATGAACGGATATTAGTCGGACATTCGCATATGTGGATTTTCGAATCTAAAAATAACAATAAAAAAAATAACTTTTCTGTGTGAAGAGTTCTATTATTTATTTAGCAACTCAAATCATACAGTAATTCTGAGAACAATTTTATGAATCCGTTCAAACACTGATTAGAATATACCGATATCTTGTTAACCAAATGAATAACCAGATATTCGCATAACAAAATATAACGGAATTAATCGGATAACCGGATTTTATCAGATTATACGAATATACGAAAATACGGATTAGTTGCAGCCCTAGTATGGTCAATAGTTTTGCGACATACGAAGGTGCTAATAACACATTGCTGCGGTTCAGGGTAGTGCCGTGTTAGCTGCAACGTAATTTACAAATTTATCAAAATACAGAGGTATGCACTTTTCCGGTTTGTTAACTCAAATGCAGATCATTTACGTTTGAGACATTTGCATTTGCGACATCCAGCGTTGAAGCCAAAGCATAGAATTTAGTCCCCTTTCTTTACTTTATCTTTCCGCCCGCATTTTTCCCAATAGCAGCAATAACTTCCACCTCCATACATTGCCTCAACTAGTAACAGGTAGCGCTGCGCCGACGCTCTTAGCGCATGCTACGCCTACCAATTAGCTAAGCCATTTGTTTGCTCAGGCTTGTCCGTCTAAACAAACGTCGCTCAGGTGCTTCACCTTGGCACAGGTATACGCTTTGTAGACATGACTAACGAAGCTGCGGTGCACAATTCTACATTCACGCCTTTTATTTTGGCTGTCGCAACCGTCACAATTCGCCTTTGACTGAGCAGCTGTCGCCAATGGCAGTCTATCAATTAGTGCGACACTTGTTAGCACTTCAACGCCTATAACCGCTGCCTCTCTGCCATCTAAACTCTTCCACCATCGCCGCACACACACACACACACACACACTTCCTGATCTTTGTCTACTCCACAAATATTGCTACGTAATCCTGTTTTTCGTACGACAGGTTTTCCTCTCTAATTCGAATTCGCATTTTCAGTGGGTTTTTCCCTCATACCGAGGGTTTGTTTTGTTGCAGCAACTGCGTAACGGATTTGGATTAGAACTCGGTTGGTCTGCTGCGTCTGAAATATTAGTGTCATTGTTCATTGTTGGAGTAGGAGTTTTTGTTGTCCTCGATCGCGCACGTGTCTGCTGTCTGTAGCGAATGACAAATTGAAATTCGGTCCAACTCGTAACACCGGTTCTGAGTCGACATTTCGTGGAATCGAAACCTGCTGGTTGACTCTAATTGAATAGGTAATTGCTTAATTGGATTTGTGGTTCAGAAAGCGTTACACTTCAATTGAGTAATGGTTTGTGGCGTGGCCAGTTTTAATTGTAAACGTTGTAAATGCGAGGGAAAATTTGGAAAAGTCTACACTCAAATAGTATTCACGCTAAAAGACTACTACATTACATCTGTGATTTCAATTTATGTAATTTTGATTTAATTTGGGTTTTGCCCTTAAAAGGGGTTAATGGTATGATCAGTGTGACCAGCTTAGCTGTTTTGAGGCTAGAACTTTAAGTCTAGTTTCGTGGCTTTTTTCTGACCTTTCTTTCACTTTTTTACTTCAAATATTCATAATAAAATAAAAAAAAATTGCAATGGCTGTGCTACTTTGCTTTGAGAAAAATATTATTAAAATTATATTTTAGTAAATTCTGATATATTTAGAAAACAATAATTTTTCTTTAGTTTGATGTCCCCTGAGACTATTTACCATATTTCTATTCACAAAATTTTCGCGCTTTTCCTATCCTTAACCGAACTCGTTTTTGCATAGATTGAAGGAATGTAGCCGTTATTAGTCTAATGAATTTTATTTTGTATTTTGATGAGAAGGATTTAAACAAGGAATTTAAAGAAAGCCGCTTTCGATGAGCTTGTCGAATTGGTGAAAAGTTGTAGTCTTTTTAACTTTTTCATAGAACATAACTTCTTCTGGCGCTTTTTCAAAATCAATTTCGCTTCGGTTTATGGGGTCTTCTGGCCACACTGGACATCATATGGAGCATATGAGAATTCGGAGCCCCATTAGCGCGCTGATGTCCTCTCTCTTTAAACTAGACCGAATTTACATAGCTGCAAGGATAACTCAAAGCAAGAGAAAGCCCATCATAATCCCGAACCCTTTCTCACCATCTTTGCCAAAAAGAATTTATTTGTGCTTTTAAATATTTTTTTTTGATTTTTTTAAGATGATAAATTGACAACCGCAAATTGGCGACCATTACTGTCTCACCGTCTTTCAATTAAATTTCCATTAAGACAGATAGATACTTCATTCATTGCGTCAATCAGTTCATCGCAATGCCAGGCTGACACATCAGCTGCGCCTGTATCCTTCCAAGACATGTTGTATCCCAGTGAAAATTTCGTCTGAGACCTTTGCGTGCTTCTTCGGCTAAAGAGCTCCTTTCTTACCCTTGGGCGTCGTGCCGTGCTTCCTTTGCTTTTATTCTTCGGCTGCGTGTGCATTGTTGTTTTTGCTGATCTTATTTTCAGGGCGTGATTTTTAATTTTCGATTTCAATTCATGCAATTCTGTCAACAGTGCCAGCGTTGCTGCGGGCTGTTGCGAGCTTCCGTCATCTTGGCTGTTGCACCTTTGCGCCACAATCGAGTGACTCTCGGCTGCTTCGCGTCTACCTTTGCGGTCATTGCCGCGGGCAATTGTGCGAGTTCCTACGACTGCCGGCTGGCGGCTGCACCGGTAGCTCGCAAGACTACGAAGAAAGGATTTCCATTTTGCAGTTTGCAAAAACGAGTAAACATCTGTTGCAGCGATTTACGTATGTATGCATGCCCATAGTTTACTATTTTTGTGAGTTTATCCTTTTTGGCAGTCACACAGCAATGGCTTGCAATGCTGGTGCGTACGCATTTGTGTATGTATGTATATGTCTCGCTAGTGTTTATTTAAACACAAAGGCATATCCTTGCGGTGCATATTTACTTAGGCAGACATACATAGGTACGCACAAAGGATTTTTTGGCGATTGTTTGTACACTTTCGAAGTTCGTTCCCTACTCCGTAAGACATTATCCTTTAGCGTACATTTGAAAGTAAGAATTTGTCGAAAATATGAGAACTCGTTTTCAGCGCAAAAAAATGTCTTTTTTTAAATTCAATTTCCGATAATTTGTTTTCCGTCAACATGGCCGAAGACTAACACTGCTTTACTAAGCCTTTCTCATTTACTGCTGCAGCATCCTTTCGGTTGACGCATTCAGCTGTAGGCCTTATCACCAGGCAACTGCTGCTAAGCTCCACATGCGGCCAATTACATAAATCTGCTTAACTGCTTGAAGTAAAAGTAGCTCGGCGCAAAGCCGCAAATAATTGTGCAAACCCCCGCCACAGCAACACACAGCGGTTCGTTCATACACGACGGGCATGCGCAAGGAGCAAGTGGGCTTTCCAGGATATGCGCTATAAGCTGTCTATTGCCGAGTGAAAGTAACGAAAATGTAATTATGTATTTGGCAAATATTATGCAAACAATGGTCCAAGTAGTCGTGCGATGGCAAGCAGCCCAGCCCGCACACCCTGCAGTGAGCGCCGCGGAAAGTGTCCTACCAGCGCTTTGCCCAAAATATTTAATTTTCCGTTTTTTGTGCCGCGTTGTTGCTGTTGCTGTTATTGTTTGTGCTCTACAAAAGTAAACAAGATGCAAATCCCTTTTTTATGCTGCGCCGCACTCTCGGCGATTAGGCAAAAGCCAGCCAAAACTAATAATTATAATTCATTTTGTATATCGTTTGTTTATGCGCAGATTTGAGGATGTGTTGTTGCGCACGCCCCTTCGCCAGGGTAGATGACACCCCGCTGCGTGCCAAGCGCAAACCCCGCCAAGTGAAAGTTCACGCAGCCTAAGCAGCGGCAGCGCAGATATTTTCTCTCCAGCACAGGCTGGAATTTTCGGTTAATTTTTGGAGTGCAGGACAAATGCATAGGAAAATGATTTGCGCGAACGGATTGAGGCGCTTGTAAAAAGGACACTACGAAGACCGATTTGCT